ATTTGATATTTGGTGCTCAGCAGACGCTAGCCTTCGTAAATAATATACAAAGTAAGAAACCTAATCCAGCAGGCTAGAATGTTTAATTCATCATTATGCGAGCTAATTGGAAGGTGATTATATGGTAATTGCTCATTAGTGGTGTATATTTATCGCTGCACCTTATGTCAAGGCCATGGGAATTGTGTAGAGTCTGTTCTCTCATTTCAAGGATCAGTTTCAGAAGCAGGAGCAAAGCGGGAGAGATCAAGTTCTTCCTGACGTCAGGTCCAGCCGTGGCCGATGGCGAGCGGGTCTATAAATGCTCGCCCAAAGCCCCCACAGCAGCCAAGGGCTCTGGTGGGGGAGATGGAGGGCCCGAGGCAGCCCGGCCGGGCGGCCCACGGCGAGCAGGAGAAGGAGGAAGAGTGGGAGGAAGAGAAGGAGGAAGAGGCTCCCTCATTGCCCGGGCCGGGGAAGGCACCTGCAAGGCGGGGATGAGCCCGCAGCAGCCGCTTCCCCCGATCCTTGCGGGGGGACCCACGGAGCTGGGGGTGGCTACAACCCCCTCATCCCCCCGGGAAGTGGAACCGAGGGGACTATCGGCGGGGCTCGCTTCCAGCCCACAGGTCGCCATCCCTGCAACAGGCGCTAATTGCAAAAGGCCAATTAAAAGCGAACGAGGGAAGGTGATTAATGCCCCTTCCCTTTCAAGCGTGGACCACGGCCCGGGCTTCCCCGGCCGCGAGTGTCCCACCAGGAGAAGGGATGGCGAGGAGAGAGGTTACGGCTCGGGGTCAGGAGGTTCTCTAAACTCCCGCTTTCCCCTCGCAGCGGGACCCTTTGGAGAAGTAAATCAATCGCTGCATTAGCTCCGAGCAGTTACGGACACGGGAGCAAGGGGCCGGGAGAATCCTGTTTATCAGGGAATCCGGCCTGACCGGAGCTGCTTTGCCTATTTCCTATGAGGCAGGCAGATAGGTAGGGGTGCTAATTAGGGGGGGACCGCTAATTTCCGCCAAGCCTCATCAGTAACAGCGCCATCCATCAATGGGGAGGGGAGGTAAATAAACAGCGCTTCAAAACACAACAAAGCGAGGACTCTAAGGGCTTCTCCCTGGTCCAGTGGCAAACAGGGGGTGTGCAAACCGCTCTTTGTAGGCAATAGGAGCAAGTGGCCACGGAGGAGCTGGGAGCCGCGGCTCGGTTCGAAGGGAAAGGGTTAAGAACCCAAGGACAGAGGGGCCAGATACCGGGTGCGGAGCTGAGCCGGGTGTAGTGCAGCGAGTCCGGATCCGGCCCCTCTACCTCTTGCCTCGCCACCGGAGGGGTCGGGGAGGCCTCGACGGGGCCTCCCCATCGACGGGAGCCCCCGGGGCCGCGGCCGGGCAGCAACATAAGTGAAGAGGCCGGGGAGAGGCGAGACGGGGCGGGCGGGGGCTTGCACCGCCCTTGCTCTATAGGCAGAGTGAAGTGATGGAGGAGGGAGACGGCTCAAAACCAGCCCGGCCGATTTGCGCTCACTCGCCAGCGCACCCCTGCGCGCCCGCGCAGTGCAGCCGGCCCTGGGCGGGTTGGAGTGGGGAGTGTTTGCGCTCAGCCTGCAGCCCCGTCGAGGCGCGGAGAGCAGCGGGCTTTCCGCGGGGCCGGCCGTTCTCCGCGGGGACAAGCAGGCCCCCGGCAGCCGGCACTGAGATTTCCTTCGAAAGAGCAGTAAAAATCCGAAATACCCCTTCCTTCCCTCCCCCTCCCCTCCGGTTATTTAATATAAAATGTATTTTTAAACACCCGCTCCGATAGCATCTCGCCAATATTTATATTTCCACGTTGCCTGGCATCCACTGTCCCACATTAGACTCTGCCTCTCTCTCCCTCGCTCTAATCCTGCCACTTTAAATAGATGAATTAATAAAGCAAATGAGGGTCTAATAAGCTGACTGTCCTGCCTATTGAGGCAGGGGGAGAGAGACTAGAAAGTGCGCCAAATTTGTTTGCAGTGGATCAAGGCTAGCCGCCTTTGCTTCACTTTCTTTATCTTAATTCCGACTTGAAAAGATATAATTATCTAGTTTGAACAGAGCTGCTATCAAATCCTTCTCTAGGCAAGGCAGGGGAGAGCTGGAGTGGATTGCAGTGTTCTGAGCCGCTTGGTGCAGCCGGAGATAGGGAGTAATGAAGTTGTGGAGTCCTGAGATACAAAGGGCATTAACCTCATTAGCATGAAACCTTTTCTTCTAACCATTGTGGGACCCTTTCAGACTCCTAATCCCCCCTATTTTCAAAGCTTGGTTTGTAATAAAGCTTTTAGGGTTTTTTTTTCAAAGCTAATGGCATTCTCTGAAGATTTTATTGCTGTTACGCTACATAGGACGCTTAATTTTTTTCCCCCTTCTCTTCCCTCACGGTTTAAAAAAAGAAGGGAGAGGGAGGAGAGAAATATATGGTTCCTGCAGAAATAAGCCTTTTATCAAGATGGGAAACAATTTCTAGAAAGGCCCAAATCTGCTGTTCAACCGCGATCCCTTTAATGTTTGCCCATTTGCACGGGATTGAAGCGGAGCGGAAACCAATTTGGGAGAGTTCAGGTGAAATGCGGGCCCTGTTTGACTTTCCAAACCTGCCCCATCAGCTGCTCCAGGAAGGGAGAAACGCAAGGAGAAGTTTACCTTGAGAATAGCCCTACTAAACAACTAGGCTAGGTTTAAATGGAAGGGACTGCATTGCGACGTGCGTCCTAACCCTGCCTGGGCCTCTCTCGTATTTGTAGCGCCAGTGAATAGAAAGTCACCAGGATTTTTAAGGAGCAATGTTAAAAAAAAAAAAAGTAAAATAAAATCGGATTTAAAATAAAAAAAAATATGAATTTACATAGTACCCGATAGAGCCACCACGTGCACGGAATGTCTAATCTTAACTTTTCAAGGCAGGATGTTTAACAAAGCTCGTATTTTCGCGATGCATTGTAACTTCGCCTTATCACAGTGTAAAGGGTAGTCAGATTGTCCTAAATTATGTCCAACTAGCCCCCCTGGATCCACGGATTAAGAGATTAAAGGAGACCACTGGGCAATGCCTCCTCTTTCCCCTTCATATTCCTGGTATGATAATTGCCTAAACTGATTTGCACTTTCACAAAAGCTTGCAGGATTCTTTGTAGCTCGAACAGAGCAGACGAGGTTTCTCTATCAATGGAAATAAAACTGATTAATGCAGTCTATCAGGCTAAGGAGCAAATGAAGCATGAAAAAACAACTGTGTACCCCCAGAAAACCAGCTAGTTTCCTCAAGGACCCGGAGCAACTTTTTTTTTCCCTGTTTTTCCCCCCTTTCTTTTTTTTTTTTGCACGTTTTTAATGTCAGACGTTTACCCCTGTGCCCAGGATCGCTCCCTTGGAGCGGTGGGGAGAGCAGCAAGTGGGGTCCCTGCCTCTTAGGACCTGCTTCTCACCGCACCGACCTGGCGAGGGGATTTAAAAAATAGGGAGAAATGAGGAAAAAAATATTAAAAATAAGAAAAAAAAAAAAAGAAAAAATGGAGGGGGAGAAAAAATGTTGGGGAAGGGGGGGGGGGGGAGGAAAAAATTTTCTCCCACTAAATAAAATCTATATTTTTCCAAGGAAAACCCCTTTTCCCCTCAGTGGAGCGAGGCTGCTGCGAACTAGCATCACCCTTCCATTAGGAGCCGGTTCCCACTTGAGTTTCTACCCGGAGAAGGGACTGGGTTTGTTGCTGTTGGGTTTGGTTTATTTTTCCCTTTTCTAAAGGTATTTATTTACAGCGAGCGGGTCTCTGCGGCTCATTTTTAGAGCTCTATTTACAAGGCAGTGAATTCATTAAGAAAACGCGCCGATAGCCGCAGGAATGCGCGGAGCGGCCGCGGGAGCGCAGGTTCCCGCCGCAGGGTTCAGCGGCTAAAATCAAGGTGGGAAGGGGAAACTACCGGTTTCCCGAGAAATTTCGGGCAAAAGTAAAATAGATTGCTTAAAAAATATAATAATATAGGGCATATTGATAAATCTTTATTGACAAAATATTGACAATGACATACTTCTTGGAAGTATATAGTGTGTTAGAATTCTAACAAATTAAACACAAAACACAAAAATATTTACATTCTGGTATAGGAGACATGAAGGAAACATTTGTCACTTTGCCTTATCTTTTAGTAGCTCTAGGATCTCGGAATACTATAAGGTCAGTGCTTGAAAATTGCCCCAATGAAAATGGCCATTAGGAAGAAAAAAAAATGAAAAGAAAATATAATAATAATAATTAAAAATAAAATTAAAAAGTTCAATCCGCGATTTTGAAGTCCCTTTTCTCTGCATCCTCCCTGCTCGGGAGGTGTCCCCACCGCCAGACCTGGTGGCTGGGATTGCGCTTTATTAATCCGCAATAATAAATCCCATCCGGGTTTGCAATGGGGATACATCGGGGAAGGGGGGGGGGGAATAATTTAATTGGAATTATATTTTTGGCAGCAAAAGTTATGACCAGCCCCAACCTCCCCCCCTCCCTCCCCTCGCTCCCTCCCTTCCCTCCCCAGCCCCACCGTGTTTGTCCATCCGGAAGGAACACGATGCTTTGTTACTGCTACTTCATTTTAGCTTTCACAAACACTTTGACGCCAGAAGTTATCATAAAATGTTTACAGACTGCACATTTCTCGTAAAATAAAATTAAAAAGCACACAGAACCTGTCTTAAATGGAAAAAAAAAATACAATTCATTTCTGTCTTTAGGAAATGGGGTATTTTTTTTTCCGTTTTTCTTTTTTGCTTTTTTTTTTTTTTTTGGCCTTTTTTTTTATCTTTTTTATCCGCCCAGACGGCTTTACACATGCAATTCAAGTTTCTGAAACAGGTGTGGGTTTGGGCTGCTTAGGGAAATCTCTCTTTCAAAGACGGAAAAAACCTGTGAAGTGCAAAATGTCCTGTAAGGTGGTGATTTTTCTGGTTCGGTTCGGGGATCATTTTTTGTTTCGCGCTTTTTGTTTTGTTTTTGGTTGTTTTTTTTTTTCTTTGTAAGGTGGGGTTTTTTTTTTTGTCAATATCTTTTTTTTTTTACGTTTATACTTTCAAAAGTGGATTGCGAGAAACGGAATACCTGTCAATCGCCTCGTCCCGGTGGTGGATTGACAGGTCCCGCCGTGCCGAGCGGGGCCTCGGCCCGCACCTCCCGCCGCCTCACCCCGCTCGCTCCCGGCCGCCCGCCCCGGCGGGGACCGCGGTTTTGATGGAGATCTCCGTGTCCCTTCCCCGCACCGCCACGCCGAGGGGGGGGGAGTGTGAGCCGTTAACACTTGCTGTTGGTGGGGTGCTGGCTTTGAAAAGTCCCAAAAGTGCCAGTTTTTAATCGTCCGACGTGACGTCGATTTCCTCTGGACTGGCTTGTTTGGTGGCGATTCTCCACCGGTTAATGTGATGAGTCCCTTTTTTCTTCTGTTGTGAGTCTGAACCTTCCTCTTCCAACTTTTGCCGCTTGAACTTTGTCCGTCTGTTCTGAAACCATACTTTTACCTGCGGGAGGAAAGGCAGCGGGCGTTAGTCCGACGCCTTGACCGGACTCTGGAGCTGCCTGGATCACGCTGCCCTGGACGCGCCGAGGGGCTTCAGGCTCTGCGTGCTCTGTTAATACCATGCCCTACCTGCACCGTGCCCTGTCTGCACCATACTCTGCCTGCATCGCCCCCCAGCCTGGAGAGGGACGACCAGGGCCTGGGTGCCACTAAACCTCTCCGGGAGAGGCACAGACAAGACTGATGATGCCCACCCGGGACCTCCAGACTCCCCACGCTTGACGGAGCGGGCAGCCACACCGACGCCTGTGTGCGCGGCTCTGCTCTCCGCTACCGCACCGCGCAGTGAGTGCACCTTGCGCAGGCTACGCGGATCCTCCGCGCATGAGTAGCCCCGCGCAATGCCCGCGCGTGGCGCCAGGCACCCCACGAGGGGAAGACAAAGCGTGGCTGCGCGGCGGCAGGCTGTCACCGCGCCGTCGGGGCGGCTCTTGTTACCGGGCCTTCTGAGGCGTCCCGCGGCCTCCAGCACCGGCAAAGCGACCGGAGGCTGCGGCGGGAGAGGCCGGGCCGGCGGTGCGATACTCCCCACCGTCCCGGCAAAGCAGAACGACGGTCCTCGTCCCTTCTAACGGGGCAGCGGGATGGGGACGGGGAGGGGCGGGACGAGCTCTTTTCCTCTTGGAAAAGAGGATAAAATGTACGTAAAAGCCCCGAAAAGAAAACCGCCCGGTGCTCCCCGCAGCGTCTCCCCGGGACGCTCCGTCCAGGAGCGATCGTAGCGAGGAGAAACACGTTAAGTGCCGTCGTAAATAGCCCTCTAAAATGGTTCAGCGAGGAATAAATCTGACTTAACCATCCGGCAGCGGACTTCAGTGCTTTCATTACAGATAGTATTGATCTGGGAGCTATCTCCAGGGCTGGCCACACTCCTTGTAGCGACCAAAGGTAAACATAATTTTTTTTAAAGCAGTTTAAACTCTGGTTCTGTCTGAAAGTGCCTGATAAAGGCCTCAGCAAGGGGGGGAAAGGGAACTGGAGCATTTTAATAAGCTGGTTTAACCCGCTTCGCTGCCTCTTCAGAACAGAGACCTGCCTGGCCGGACACACATCTCTGCTGCATTTTCATATTCTCCAAAAGTCCCCCATTAAAAAGCTGAGCGGGGAACAAGGGGTGAGTTTAATTTGCTTTTAGTTTGCTAATTGAAGGGGAGGACGGTTCATTTCTGCACGCTGATCTCCCAAAAGGGAGCTCATTTGTAGGGGACTGGGGGTTTGACATCCGGACAAAAGACCCCAACCAGCTTCGGAATCAAGCAGCACAAAGACCACCTTAAATACAGCTTTCCAGTAGAAATAAGCCTGTGACCGGTCCCTTGTTCGGAGAACCTCATAAAAGTGGCGATCCCTTTTTATTGTTTTGTTAGGGAGACATTTTAAAACAAAAGCTCCAACCTCTTTATTGCTTCCCCCACGAAAAGGAGTTTAAGGAAAAAAAAATAGGAGAGAGAGGGGAAAAAAAAAAGGGAGGAAAAAAAAGTGTTACAACTTAATCCGCCGGAGGAACGCTGTGTTTACTGGGAACTTTGAACTACGCTGCGGCTCGGTATTTTGGCTCTCTTTTTTTGTTATTTGAAGTACAGTGCCACATACTGTAGCAGAGACAATCCCCATCTGGAGCCCTCTCTCCTGGAAGGGCACAAAACAAAAGCCCGGCACAACAACAACAACCAACCCACCCCCCCTCCGCCCCACGCCCCAAACCTCAGCCTTTCTTCCGGAGAGTAGAAAACCGCTTGAAAACCGACCGTGGGTCCCCGCCGTCGGGGGGAGTCCGCGCTCAGCCCCGCTCCCGAAGCTTCACTACTGGTGCGCGGCCTCGGAACCCATCGAGACCCTCGCCCCGGGACACCCGGAGCAGAAACATGGCTAATCGGCCCTGCAGATGGACGACCCAAATAGCCTCCGGTGTGGTTCTGGCCCGCAGCCAGCCAGCGGGGGGGGCGAGGAAAAAAATGGGGGGGGGGGGGTAGTCCTTATACTTAATAATGATATTTTTCATCTTTATGCCCTCCTGAACAGGCTCCTCATGTCCCCGCCGCTGGACGCGGGGATAGAAACGAGTCACAATCAACCAAGAAACTGCATTTCTGACGTAGGGTCCAAAGGGGGGGGGCTCAGTCCGCCTCTTGTTTTGGGGGCTTTTTCCCCCTAGCATTCCACTACTTATGGAGGGTCTCAGCATCCCGCAGGGTAAGGACCAGGACCGCCTTTCTCACGCAGATGGCAGGTTCCGCCGCTCCCGGTCCCGCTCCGGAGGGATCCCGAGTGGGGGCAGCGGCCGAGACCGGGGTATCTCCGTTTCCACCACTCCCCCGGCAGAGCCACCGGAGCTCCCGGTGCTGACGGCGGCTCTCGGAAACGGGAGATGATTTAACAACACCCAGGCAAAGGAGAACCCCTCACTGTGCTCCACCGGCCCTGGGCTGGAGGCCTAAACACTCCCAAAATTTGCCCGTAATTTTACCCCCATCTCCAGGCCGACCGGGTTCGTTTTCCCAAGAGGATCCCAGTACTTTCGCTTTCCCAACTGCCCACTCCCTGCTTCCCGCTTACCTGAGTTTCCGTGAGGCTGAGGCTGTGTGCCAGCTGTTTTCTCTCTGCTCCTACTACATAATGGTTCTTCTCAAAGGCATGTTCCAGTCTCAGTAATTGGGATGGGGAGAAAGCTGTACGGATCCGTTTGGGTTTCCTGGCCAGTGCGTTGTGCAATAGGAAGCTCTCCGGGCTTGTTTCATTCCCTGGGCAACAGGGTAAAACGGAGATTAGCGAAACACGTTCCCCAAACGCACTCGAGAAGAGTTTCGAGCACCGGATTTTTTGCCTCCCACCATTACTCGCAAGGGAAAACCGAGTATAGTTTATTTGTTATTATTTTCAGCGCCTTTTTGCTGTTACATTTCCCTTCGATAAATAAGTGAAGGCAATAAGCCGGGGAAGGAGAGGAGTGGAAGAAACTCAAATACTAAAACACAAACATGAGGGAAATAAGGTGTGGGGGGGGGGGGAAGAATCAAGGAAAAGAATTGGCCAGAGCCCGGCTGCGGTGTCTGCGGCTTCTCTCGGCAGCTGCCCGACTTCCCTGGCTTCACATCTTCCCCTGTTTGCTATTTACATCCTCCCGGCGGGGCACCGGTGCCCGGTGCAGCCCCGGCCGAGCTCCGAGCTCCCGCAACCCGCTCCCGGCCTCCTCCCTCTTCCCTTTCCCAAAGCTCCGGCCGTGGCCTCTCTCTTCCCCCCCCTCTCCCCTGCGTTGTGGCAGGGTGTGCTCCCCGGAGCGAGGACTCCCGCTGCCGCCGTGCCCGTGCCCGCTGCCCCGGAGGGAACCGGAGGGGAAATAAAGACACAAACTTGGGAAGGCCACGGAGCCGCCATCCCAACCGGCCTAATGCGGAACGGGCCCGAGGTGGGGGGGGGGGGGGGGGGGTGTCACCAGAGGGGTTTTGGTGGGTCTCTCCCTTCGGGTTGACCCTGTGCCGCTTTTCCGTGTCGGTCCCTCAGAGGTGGGAAAGGCAATGCGGGTCTCTCTCCGTAATTGCATTAGAAATCGTTGGAGGAGGAGGGTGTGATTGAAATCAGGCTGTGGCTCAACACCAGGACATTTCCGCCTTTCATCTACCGCTCTTTACCAATCGCCTGATGACTGCGACAAATAATTTGGTGAGCGAAACCTGTAATTTTATTCTGAGAGGGTAATAATCCTTTTTGTATCCCTGTCTGCCTAGCTTCGGAGACAGAGAGAGACTCCTTTTCCAACCCGAGTCCAACGGCTCGGCAGCAGAAGGCCGGGAAGGGATATCGCAGGTGGTTTGTTTTCGTGTGGAATTAATAAAAATTAAAATACCGGGAAAATAATAATAATAATTTTTTAAACAAGCAAATGCATCCCTCAGAAATTAGGTTGAATTTTTATTACTATGATTAATTTTTTATGTGTGTGTATAACGAAAGAGGAGCCGGACCCATTACGGGAGAAACCGGCTCACCCTGCGGAGAAGGCGCTGCCGGTTGCAAAGGGTTAAACAAGGGGGATTTTATTGATAGTGCGCCATTGGATTCGGTTCTTTTCCTCCTGCCGGTTGTTAATCGCTCGGAAGCCGGGAGCCCTCCCCTGCCCCTTCGGACGGCATCGCTCTCTGCCCCCAGCCCTGCTCTCCTCGCAGCCCCATCTCCCTGCGCTGCTCCAGCGTTGCCATTATTTTCCTCCCTCTTTCTCCTTTCTGCCGGCTTCGTTTCAGTTCTGCCCCGTCCCCGCTAACAAGGGCAGCGGCCGGATTCGGGGCGGCTGCGGCTCCCCACAGCCCCGGGCACCACCGTCTTCCCGGAGGAACCTAACGTCCCCTCTGTTCCCATCCCTGCAGGGAGGCTTTTGCAAGGGCTCCTCCGTAGCTGTTAACGCAGCGGAAGGCAAAACATCCACCTTTCCCGCCTGGTTTTAGTCGGGGCGAGAACGCCGCCGAAGTCCCGGCCGGCCTTGCCTTCCCTCCTGCCCCGCTCCAACCGGGAGAAGCAGCTCGGCAAAACCGAGCCAAAGCTTGTGTGTGTCCCCCCGCCCTACTCCACCCCCGGCTCTGACAGCTCCTCAAGTTTGGCGGGGAGGGGGGGATCAGGAACAAAAGCCCCTCGGCCCATCCGAGCCGAGTCTACGGCTCCGGGCACCGGCTGCCCCCCACCCCTGGTTCCCCCCGTCAGCCGCGCCTCGGGGACCGTCCGGAGGATGGAAGGGTGGCCGGGAGGGAGAAGAAAAGTTGCACGTACCTTGGAACCTGTGGCCCAGATACCGGTAGCGGTGTATTAGCCAGGGGTAGAAGGTAGAAGGGTCCCTTTGCTGCGAGGCGAAGAGCGGGTGCGTGGAGTGCGAAGCGGGCAGCGGATGGGCGGCCAGGGCGTGGGGAGGGGGCACGGGGTGGACCGGCACGGCCGGGTTGGGCGGGTGGGAGACGGCCTCTGCAAAGACCAAGTCCGGGTTGGAGTAAACCCCCCTGCCAGTGGAGTGGAAGCCGTTGAGAAAAGGGTTCATCGGGCTGGAATTGGCATAGCTGAGCGCCGCCGGCCGGATAGGATCCTCGGAGCGAGACGCGGGCAAGGGGCTGTCTTTGGCCACCAGCGACTCGATGGTGAAACACCGCTTGGGTGTGGGCTGAAACATGCTGCCGCGGCGAGAGTCCCCGGCCGAATCTCTGCCTGGCTCTCTCCGGTGCGCGGGAGACGATCCGGGGAAGTTTGCAGCAGGCAGTGACTTGAGGAGGGATAGATACACACATAAATAGACAGGGGCTGGAGGAAAAGGAGGCAGCGGCAGCCAGCGGTACCCAAAAGGGAGACACACACACACACGCACCACGCACACACACACAGGGAGGGAAAAAAAAAAGGGGGGGGGAAAAAAGTTGCTGGGAGAAGTTTCCCTCCTGCAAGGAAAAGGCGGTCGCCCCCCCCCCCCCCCCCCCCGCCTCCCTCCCTAAGTCCAAAGACAATCCATGGATGTGATCGGCCCCTTCACAAGTTGTGCAAACGATTTGTTAGTTCATGAGCCTAATTAGTGCTGGGATCACATAAACAGCTTCCTCTGAAGCCTGGTAAATGGCTTGATGATTGGTCGCTATTACTCGCCTTGAGGTTGAAGGGGGAGACTCTTTAAAGTGCGTCAGAGGGGAGGCGAGCGCCGGGCAGCGCCATCGGGAGGGATGGAGCCGCGGATCGGAGTGCAGCGGGAGCGCCCCCGGCAGCGCGGGGGGAGCGCGGTCCCGCTACCGCGCCTCGCTCAGCCTCCGCGCTCGGCGACCAAGGTACGGGGACGGGGTCGGGGGGAAAAGGGGGGGGTGAGCGGGGGCCTGTATCTCCTCTCGGGGGGGCTGGGATGGGGATTTGGGGCTCTCCGCCAGGGTGACACCCCTGTCCCTGCCACCTCTCGAGGGCTCTCAGCCCGGCGAGGTTACCTTGGTCAGCCCCGGAGAGTCCGGGAGAGGCAGATGCCCCGCTTGAAGAGGTTCTACCCCGGTGGGAGAACGGGTCGCCCTCCTAGTCCTCGGAACTTATTTACTCCCCCGTCCTGTCCTCCGCACTCCCCGCACCGCGCGGTGCGGAAAACAAAGCGGAGGGAGGTTGCATTATGCAAAGCTGGGACACGCAGAGCTCTTGCCGACGGGACAGGGGAGCAAGTCTCCGGTTCCAGCCTTGTCCGTATTTTCGCGTTTACCTTTGGGCCCGGGGATGATTTTAGGGCTGAGTTCTCCTCCTCCCATTGGCTGGGGCCGCAGAATAATTATGATCACATCCTAATACTCTTGGCTGGTGCTTACTGTTTATTGGTAGTTAAGGATCTATTATCTATTCATCAGCCTCCCATTTTTGCCAATTACATTCTTCTAAAGTGAAGTACCAGCAGGTATTTTGCACATTTACAATTAATGATAAAAAATCTGGCGTACTTTAAATCTATTACGACGCTGTGTAATTTATCTTAAAGATGCGGAATTGCTAATGTAAATTAATGTTTCTGTTGAACCAAAGGATAGGGGAAGTCTTAAAACCAATCTAGCGTTTCGTTCCTTCGTTCCCGGACATTGTTTTTCTATTTTCTTTCCACTTTATACACAAAGAATCCGTTACTCCGCTGCATTAAAGTATGATAAACAAATCGGTGTCTAAGCGGTCCTCGCTTCTGTGCAGTAAAGGGCGAGGTGAGCTCGCCTCCCCTCGCTCCGAAAAGCGCCTGTTTGCAGCTAACCCGGTGTTTTTAACGCAATATCAAATCGACGGGGTAAATATAAGTGGCAAAGCAGTGCTGGGCACGCAGGGATGCCGGGGTCTGCGCGCCTTGCTCTGTGGACGTGTTTTCCTTTGTGCCCCCGGCGCTGAGAGTACTTCGTGCAAGGGAGAAGTCGTCTCTCGGTGTGAAATGGAAATGTGTTCTCCAGGCGCTGGGCGGCTGTCCGGATGGACACCCATCCCCACACGTGCGTACGATTGCAGGGACAAAGTGAGAGGGATGTTTGGACGCCGTAACTCAAGTCTGCCGACACATTTTGCAGCGAGGTGCCCTTCTCCAGGTCTTACCCGTTTGGGAAAAGCTCCTCTCTCCGCAGACACACGGGCTTCGGCCCCCTGCGCTGGGCTTGCTGCGGAGGGGAGAGGTGGATTTCCTCGTGAACCGACAGTTTTTTGACCTAAAAAGCTCCCTCTCCCCTTTTCTGTGTAACAACTTCCCCCCCCCTCCAGCAGGCGGTAACGCTCTTCTCGCACAGATTTGGGGTTATTGCCCTGAGCCAGGATGAGAGAGCGCCCTAAATACAACCGGTATTTGATGTGCTGATTTCGACCGGGATCGTAGTTCCTGAGCACTGAAAGGGGGGGGGGGGAAACGAGAAGATAAAAAAAGGATAAACTTCTAGGAAGAGCCGTGCTCTGCATCTGCGTATTTACACTGCTCCGGGACTGCAGAATGAATATGAATTGGAAAAACTTCAACTCCTTCTTCCCCCAACCACCCCTCCCCGCCTTTTTTTTTTCTATCTCCAGACATCCTGACATAATCACAGGGTTCCTTTGAAAACTGCATCGAGTAATTTAGCAGTTGGGGAGGGAAAGAATTATATCCGTGTGAAGAAAAAACCCGTCACACACGGAAGAGCAGGGATAACCCTCCAAAACCAAAAAACCAAGCCAAAAACCCTCTCGATAAATTTCCATTGACCTCTCTTTCCTTCCCGGGAAATATCCTGTAGCCCTTCCCGAAGGGGGGTCCCGTTGCTCCCGGGCTCAGCGTTGGAGGCTGCGGCTGCAACAGGGAGCTCCCCCCTGCCCAAGCCGGGTTTCGCCGGGGAAAGCGAGCGAGCTCGGCCGCAGCAACCTGGAAGTCGCAGCACCGAGCCCTGCTTGCTCTCTGCGCTACGTGCATATATGTATCTATGTGTATATATATCCCTATATATAAATGTATGTGCGTGCGTGGACACAGACAGACAGAGAAACCGCAAGCAGAGCCTGGGGAGCACCAGCTCTCTCTGGGTTTTGTCAAGGAGAAAACAGGCCGGGGACAGAACAAAAACCAAGGGGGCTCGGGATGGGATTTCCCAGGATTTTCCGCTTCACTTTGAATTTCTCTATCTCGCTCCCACTCGTCGCCTTGGCCGTTTTCCTTGGGCAGTCCACTGGAGTCGGTGCCCGCTCTGCCGGGGCCGCTGCGCTCCAGCCCGGGCTGCCCAGGGAGCATCTCCCGAAGCTCCTCTCTTGAACTTTTCCAACCCAGCGTCTTGACAGGCTGCTCTCGCTGTCTTGGCGTCTACAAGGAGAAAAATCTGGCAGGGGCTCCCTTCCCAGCAATCCCCGATCTGCTCCAAGCGCACTTCGAGGCAGCTTCGCGCGGAGGGAGGGGTGCGCTACATTCGCAGTCAAATTACATGGCTGGCCTCAAAGGCACTAGCTCCGGATTTCCAAACTAATACTCATCTTTTAAAAGCCGAGCCAAGAAGAGAATGCGAGGAAGGTCTCAGATGCGGGAGACCTCGGGGTAAGATGGTGATTTACGGGTTGATCCAGGATGAACTTTCACGGGAGGGGGGATAGTGGTGAGGGAAGTTTCAGCCTCCCCTTAACTTTCTTTTCCAGGCGAGATCCGTCTCCCCCTTCTCTTTCCAGCCCTAGGGATCCGTGCCCACAGAAGGGAGGAGAGGTGGCCCAGTCAGCTCGTGTCTGGAGGGGGACTGCGTGAATTAGAGGAGAGGGTTAAATCCCTAATTTCATTCCTTTCTAGACGTCCTAAATCCCAGTCAGTATGTCTAGGCGTGCTGCGAGCCCTTCTCAACAGCGCAATGCTTGGCGGGAGGGACAGGAACCCGGGCAGCGAAGAGAGGAGCTGAGACGGGCCGAGCCAGGGGCTCCAGAGCCAGGCCGGGCTGCAGGCATCAGAGAGAGCCCACGATCCTGCCCCGTCGGGCACCCCGGGGCCTCCGCCGCAAGTGGATTTCATCCAAGGCATTGTCGGTGCCGGCCCTGGTTCCCCTAGCACGAGGAACTCCGTGTATAGGGCTTCGCTCTTCACGCAGCCAGGGCTCAAGAATGGGGCGCACACACCGGGTGTTTCCAGCAGCCCTGAAATCTTCACTCCCCCTATTTCGTCCCTGCTAAGCTGGGCCTGCGCTGGTGCTGCCATCGAGGGCCCATATCACCGGCGAGCCGGGGCTGCAGTGGCCGCGGGAAACGGGCCCGCTGTCCGGGTTTCCTCTCACCGGCCGCAGAAGCGACCCGGGACCGTCGTTTCGGTTTTATCTTTTCGATGCTAATTCAGAGCATCGTTGTCCCTCGCTTCCAACCCCCCTTCCCTCCCATCTGGCCGCGCACCCGCGGCCGGTTCCCTGCGTTCGGCGCTGCATAAACCCGGCCTGTCGCTCAAGAACCGCAGGCATCCCCGGCTTTGTTTTGCGCATCTATTTTCACTTATGCATGGTTTGATTTGCGGTTCCGAAATGACGTTACTAACGCGGGCCGTGGGGGGAAAAAGAGCAAATCCCTGCGTTTGCACACGAAGCCTTAATCCGCACCCATCCGTGACAGACTCCGGCTCGCTCTGAATGTCAACATGTGCGGAGCAAGCTGAACAAAACACCGGAGCTGCGTTGCGGGCTCGCACCTCACCGGGACGGCCCCGACGAGCATCCCCTGCCCGTCACTTGTCCCGTCCCGTTCCCCTCCCGCTGCGCGGGGCGCGGTGGCGCAACCGCGGGCGCGGGTCTCGGAGCGCATCCGCGGGGCTGCAGCGCCCCCTGCTGGCCATCGGGGAACCCCCGCCGGCCCCGCGGCCCTGCCGTCGGCAGTGGCTGCCGCCAGGGCCCGGCCGCAGCCCCGGGGTGCGCAGGCTGAGAGCTGAGATGACCCATCCTGGAGAAAGACACAAGGGAGCCTTAAGACCCCTTCATATAGATGTATACTTAGATATAGTTAACCCATTGGGGCTTCCGGGGGGGGGTTGGAAGGGCGCAGGGTGTGCTCGCATACACGTCCACTCACAGGCGTCTTAAACTCTCCCCAGTGCGCAACCCGTTGTCACACCGCTTATTGTAAACCCAGCGTTTTGAATGCCCCCCCTCTCTAACAGATCGCCTGCCCCGCTAAAATCTCTCACGGCGGTGAACTCGGCCCGGCTCCTGCGTTCATTTTCACCCCTCGTTCAAAATCGCCGGGTGCTACACGGCACGTATCGCGATTTATCGCCGTTGTTCATATGGACGAGAGGCGGTTTTGAGCTTGCTACCCCGCCCGCCCAGCGGGTTGACCTGACGGCTCCATCCCGACAGGAGCCGGCCCATGGCGGGCTGCCGTTGCCTCGGAAGAGCTCGGGGTGTCCCTGGTACCGCACGCCAGGAGCTGCTGCACGTTTCCAGCGGCCGGACGGTAACCTCGCAGATGAAGGGGCTTTGCCCGGCACTTTGATACCCCAGGAGCACTGGACGGGGGGTTCCTGACAGTTATCTCCTCTGTTAAAACCCGGGTATGCCACGGGGGCTCTCCCTGGGTGAAAACTCGCCAGACTCGATAAAAAACAAACCAAAGCAGAGGAGAGCTGCAGGCCGGGCAGGGACTGCAGGTGGCCACGCTCTGGGCATC